GCCTCTTATTAACCTACAAACAGAATAGGTACTTTATTCACATCAAATTGTCGATCAATTAAAATTAGGCAGTTTTATAATGATAACTTACGTCTAACATATGCTAACATAACATTTAGTCTCGTCTCAAGATCAGTGAAAGGCCGGAAAACCATGGCAAGAATTGTGAAAGGCACACTATAACGATCTGAGAACCAGATGAATTATTTACACTTTCCAAGACTTTACATTTTTATATTTACTCTGTAGTAATCAATTTATATCGGTTATGTCATGTTTAAAAAAATAAGGCCACACAAATATGGTCGCTATGCGTAAATCGCGGTATTTTTTTCAAGTAAGTGGCACTGTTGTTCTCTGTACAGCCTTACGTTCACATGGCCCTTTACTGTATGTGGTACGTAATATACCAGGTAATCAAGTGACATAATGAGCAAATTAACTCAATCCGGTTAATTAAGTATAACAAATATTTTTAAACTCTTCTGGTTTGATTGTACGTACAATGTTTTTATTGTACATAACGAGGCCAATTGGATTTAATATGTTAAATGTTCTCAAGCGTACACATGTTGACAAATTTATATCGGTTTTGTTCGCTTAATTACGCAAATAACGAGTTTTGGAAAAAACTATAGAGTACTCATTAGTATTCTTTACGATCTGATAGCATGATTGTTGCTTCTAGAGGATGTACTAAGTGAAACTCCGGGAAACAACCCAACCTCTACGTTTAGAAAATCGTTGCTTTTAGTATTTGAAGTACGCTATTTTTTCTTTTTGTTTTCAAGAGCTATGTTTATCTATGGTTTGAAGTCTAGTCATGGAGTACGGATAAGCTACGATTACCTCCACCGTGATTAAACCGTCTATTAGAGGCAGCAATCACGCTTGACTTTGCAATATCCGTATACATGCAATCTAACGAACAATTTCAAAACTTACAAAGTATGAACAACTTGGAAGGTAGCAATGTTTTTATAATCTTTAAATTCAGTTCCGTCAGTCACATAAAATTTATAAGCTCTTTCCGGTAATTTCGATACATTACTTAGGTCTAAATAATCTAGTTATTTTTCAATAGTTACTGCCATATTTTACTGTTTGCGCCGTGGTGCACGTAACCAAACATAACAGAACTTTCAATTGGCTTTTCTATGAAACCAAGAAAGCGGAATAGTATAAAAGAATTGTAGTCGGAAGTCGTGAGAAGTGGGTGTCGTCGTGCAGGAAAGCGGGTTGCCTCTATAATCACCCATTGTCGATGACGTGTAGACACACGTATTTAGGAATTTTCGTCACTGAAGTTTGTTTTAACAAAATAATTAAGGCCAAACTGAAAGGTTTAGTACTTATTTTATTTTGTAGCTAGTAAGTAGAAACTAGAGAAATCTGGAAAAATTTTAGATTGATCTTTTGAGATAGAACAGAATGAGTATGATCCAGTTAAGTAGGCCAATGATCAAAAAGGATTCATCTACAATATCTACTTAAATAGAGGAGTTTAAAATAAAATTTGTGTGATTAGTATATTATTATTTCCCCAAAAAAAAAACGTTTCTATCTCTATGAAGAAACCAAAACGTTTGGCATGGTACAGTCAATCGTCTGGCAAGTAAGTAAGCGACCAAACGTGTCTGTTTTACCAGACGCCAAGCATTAAACAAACCACCTGTCAGTGTAACCACGACCCGAGCGTTTAAAGTGCTACTGACTTATCTTTGGGGTAGTGTTGATGACGTAGGCGGATAAAATTAGAACAGTCTCTAGTCGCAGTAGCATGGCCTTACTGGTAGGACAAGATGATTGAAGAGGACTACATCTATATTCTACCAGCAGTTGCAAAGTCGGGACGAATCTATTGCTATTCACTATACTTTTTTAACGTGTAAATAATGAGATGATAAAACATAGGCAATCTTGATCTATACCGTTATCAGGTTTACTTGAGACGTTGAGTATTAACTTGAATGATAGAACATAGTTTCTATATTGTTGTTCTATCCTGTTATGTGTGTATTCAAAAATAAGAAAAAGTTTTTGCAGCCCAGATGACGACGTGCGGTTGACGGAACGCATTAACAACAGCTCTACCTGGTCCAGAGTTAAAATCTTCTCTCTTTTTTAAACTGTTTTTATGTGGATGTAGATAAGTAAACATTACATCCGGTGCCCCGCCAGGTAAGGCAATAAACAAACTGTTCTGTGTTCATCCCTTAATGCCCAGATGATTTGCTCCTTCCGTAAATAGAAATTCATTCTCAACTTTTTTATTTACCCTGTGATCTTTTGGAGTCAATGAAAAGAGGATTATCTTCGCCAGTGTTCCATGGTTTTAAAAATAGAGGCAGATTTATTTAATATTACGTAAATATGTGAGCAGCAAAGTCTGTTGCATTTTATCACGAATGCGGAAAGAAATAGACAAACGGCTAAAAATATCTACGTGTTCTGAATAGTTACTACAATAGTTATAAGTTTTAGATTTGGAATCAAGAAGTCATCTGTCGATTAGGTACTAAGAACATGGTCCATGACAATTATTATCGTACGCATTCTACACAGAAACACTAGAAAGTCCGTTCGTAATTCGTGTTATTACATAAAACCATCTCGCACTCACAGAATATTTAACTTATTTGCATAAACCACTTTCTTTGGCCTTTGCATAACTCGAAAAAGACCAAACGTAGAAAATCAACTCGGACTCGGAAGCACGATGAAAGTTTGATGTGATGTTCATTCAAGCGAATATTTTGAGCTAATGTTATTTTATCATAAATTAAAATTAAAATGTAGGTTTAGCATTTCTTGTTCTTTATGACCAATCGAAATAGGCATAAGTAGGTATCTGTCCAGCTCAAGGAATATGATAAAATTTTGTGAAACTCAAGCAAAACCGATAACCGAAACCAAATCAAACAGCAGTTCACATGAACTACCGAAAACAATTGTAAGTATCATACGGAACATTTTATATCCAATTCGCTACGCCTGACTTTAGCACAAAGTCATAAACAAATAATTTACGTAACTTACGAGTTACGATTACCATTACGCGGTAACTAAGTATGCATGTTCAGAGATGTTCACACAGATTTCGTCACTTTCACGATCGATTTCTCTCATGCTTTCCACTGTTTGTCTTTACAAGATCTAATAGACTTTGATAATATATGCAGATAGTAGCGGATTCGCCACACGTCTTTGAGACGCCTCGTAAACTACAATTAGGCTGTATTTAAAGAAAGCCCTCATTGAATGCTTTGAGAACAAAGAGAGATTAACTTTTCTCAATGTAATTTAATCGCAGATAGTATGGAAATTACTTTAATACTCCTACGGAAGAAGTAGAACCTCTATTTTAAGATGAGCACTATAAAGGTCTTTTAGAAATTGAAGCCAGATTTCTATTGGCATTTTTGTAGTGCGTGTACAACCCAGTCTCTTAAGCATCCAAATGGCTACTGAAATCGCAGATTATAAAGATTTCGTTCTATTTTTTTTAACTGTAACTTGTCGATATGACTGGTTTATGTCACTTTAATTTCTGAGAAGAATTAATGCTATAAAAACAAAGATCCTTCAGAGCTACAAATTGTATGATAATTGCTCATTTTATTCTCACATAAAACAAATCATGATTTACGGTAATACAATAAGAGGAAACAATGTTCCAATGAATGAACACACTAGTGAGGTACTGATAAAATTAAAATAACGGATTACTTAACGTGATCTCCGGGTTCCTATACAGTTTTATCTTGTAAATACCATTTCAAATTTTAAAAAATCTATTTTACCTCCTTATTACAAAAAAAGGCAAATAGGTTCCTACAAAACTAATTGTTTGAGGTATAGTAAAGACATTCGTCAGTGTGTTGGTCACGTAGTAACCTGTCTACGAGTAAAACCCAACCCTATTACAAAGAAAACAAAAAAATAAGCCGTCCTCGAGCAGGTAGAAGACAGTACAAGGCAGAACATACTAGTTAGCTCGGCTTGCAAAAAAATTATGACCCCGACTTAAGAAAAGAAACCAGAAACCGGCAGGTTGATAGGCACAAAAACCCAGACGCACATAACAGGCAAATTAACCGTGAGAAGTTCCAGTTTTTGCAAATTATGCGCTTTCTGGCGCTTTAACTACAGGGGTTTCTGTGTATATCCCTGAGTAATATCGACGATTACTTGATTGTCGAGAACCTCAAAAATGTATTATTAAAAACGTGTTCTGCCGTGCAACGTTATCGGTCGTAGCTTCTTTATCTCCACGTCTGGGTGCACAGGAGTTGGCTCACGGAATAGTACAGTTACCAACACATTTGTTCGTGCCATTAATACGTGCATATTTATGCGTAACGTGTCTACTATAACGGTGCCTCGGTAAGGACTCGAAAGAATACGTGCTGCGATGATTTTATTTATTGAGCCCATTCCGCTGGTACGATCGAAATTCGAAATTCGTAATGAAATAGGGGATATGTCGTAAGTTAAAAGATTTATTGATGATCAAGATTGTATTCATTACGTAGAGGTAGCTAACGCATGGTGCAAAACAATTGGCAATGAACAAAAATTCTAAGATGTTAATCACATTGTTTATTTGGTGGAAGGTGTTAGTAGCAGCTGTTCTCCAAGTTTCTTAATAGTTAGTTTCGTTATTACTTTGACTGCGACCTTGTAACTTGAGATTGAAACTGATGACACTTATTCACTGATTATGAAGGCTTAAAAACTGTCGACTCGATGAATAAACTGATAATTAAAATGTAGGTAGTTATTTTGAAAACAAACTGATCTCAAACTATCTAACAACCCTATGACTACCTAACTACATACAAAAACTAAGTCTAGAAGTTGTTGTTAATTATTAATCTTTTTTTTTTCTAATATTGAATGCAACGTAGGTACTTAGAAATAAGAGTAATGTCAACAAAGATTTTAAATTGTTAATACCTATCATGAAATAATTAAATATTAATTAATGATATTCTTACCTGTATGTGTGTCCGCTTAACTTCAATATAAAGCCAGTTATCCGTCGAGAAGGCTATAGCCATTAAAGCAGCAGCCACGATTGCTGTAATGGTCGCTATAGACAAAGTTACCGCTGAGCAAGGCATTTTTACAACCTTCAAGAGACAGTAAAAGATAGAAGAGGTTTAAAGGAATATTATCACAATCACAACACTTTGTATCCTAAAAGTTCACCTATACAGCATTTTCGTAAACACTTAACGGTTCGGAGAACACGACAGCACACACACAATATAATAAAAACTCATATGAATGCGGTCATCGCCTGCAGCGTACCGAGTTCGCGCGCGAGACTTCTTTGCCTACTTCACTTCGCCTTGCCTTGCCGCTCTCTTGCGGATGTGAAACTTTCGAAAGCGAAGTAACACCGCCAAGTGGCGGGAATGCAAATTAAAAAACTGGTTTTGGGATGCCAACCTAAAAAAATAAATAACTCTTGGGAATTTTAAACCACGTGTGAAGTTCAGTATATAATTAACATGAACTTAGAGTATTCATTCAAACAATGATAATTTGAATATATGTTTTTATTTTTAATTAGATACAATGCAAAATATTGAAATAAAATTGGTTAAGGATCTGAGGTGAAATGGAACGTGGCAATGTCAATGCCAGAAAAGTTCACTCTTTATCGTTCGTCAGATGTCAAATCATCTTGATTTCATTCAAATTCATTCATTATCGCTCATTTTTGTTTCCAACCAAGTATTAAACAACAAAATAGTACATCGAAAATTATATATTTATGAAGTAAATACAGTGATAATGTCGGATACTTACGATGTAACAAAATACGACGATGTGTTGACGTCTATTCTAGTCAACGAAAAATCTATATTAGGCTTCCTATCTGCAATATTCGGCTTTTTAGCCAGAAGGTTAGTTCTTTCTATTGTTTTTGTACGTAAATTGTGCAAGTTTTTGAAGAATTTGGAAACTTAGCTCACTCTTAGTTCATGGAGATGATAGCTAGTCAGCCAAATCTAATACAAAAGTTAGAAACTGTGTTTTTCAAAAATGAAGGTATACCTATAATTTATTTCTAATTTACATCTCATATAAACCGAATCCAATTTCAGAACCGACTTCTACTATGTACCTCAGGGTGCGTACGAAAATATGGGCTTTCCGCCGGGAGTAGCGGAGGAACTGGTGATCAAGGTCCTTAGAACATGTGACCCCAAAACGTGGAAGGGAACAAATGGTGCTCAGAAACAGTTAGACCTTACCAATGAGATTATGTGTTCAACGGTGGCCCAAGAAGTAGAGGTAGTCGCTGAGAATGAGGAAGCAAGTGAAGATGAAGCCGGAACACAAACCGATCAAAAGTCTGAAGAAACTCCTGAACAATCCGTAGAATCTTCTAGAAAATCTGAAGAGATTCTTGTCAAGTCTGGTGATATTGTTAAAAAACTTCCTGAGTCTCCAGATCCTGTATCAAGTACTTCTAAAGCTATCCCTGAAGGCTACAAGCCTCCCGAGATACCAGTTCAGAAAGACAGTGATACTTACAATGGTGCTGAGCGAGAGAATTACTTGTGGTCACAGAATATTATGGAATTAGGTAATATAGTTTCATTATTCTAACCACCTGTTTATTCTAAGTTTCTACATAAAAATCTGTTCCGCTCAAGGTAATTTAAACCTAACTTGACTACTACTCTTGACTACTGCTTTGTGAGACTATAAAAAATACATATTTGATCTGCATTTTATCAAACCAGAAGTTAAATGTTAACACCATATCATACCAGGGATTTAATACTATTACAGCACTGTATAAGCAGGGTCACAAGTGTTACTGCTGGGCACATAGTTTAGGATTCGATTCCTGGGTGGTGAAAAGCACTTCTGGGTTTTAAAAAAATTATGGAGTTGTGCCCCATATATGCAAATAGGTTCACCCCCTGTTACAAGGGACTCATAACATGAAAAGTGAAAAGTAGATGTTACATTGTATAGTGACATTAAAATGCCGTACTTCTTCAGGGATAAAAGGTGTGATGTTATGTTTTGTTACAAGCATGTAATACTAATTTTCACTAACAATTATATTAATTTCAGATGTCATTGTGAAGTTGCCCCCTGATATAAAATCATCCAAGGATCTGAAAGTGACTATCAACGCAGGAGATATCAGTGTGGCTGCTATAAATGGTGACATTATCATAAAGGACACCCTGCCTTATAAAATAAAGGCCATGGACAGCTTCTGGAGCATGACTGGAGGAAATCTGTTGATGCATTTAGGTAATACATATTTAATATACTATTGTTTACTGGAATGTTTAAATCAAATATTATTAATTAGTTTCTGCCCGCAACTTGATTCGGTAAAAAGTTCATGATTTTCGGTAAAAAGTAAAAAAAGTATTGGTTAAAAAGTATCCTATATCTGTCTCCTAGTCCTAAGCTATCTACCAATTTTCATTTAAATCAATGTAGCCGTTTTTAAATATTAAATAATGTAACTAACATGAGTTTCTTTTATATATATGTAAATGTTATAATGTATGTAACTATGCGTTCATTTGCACAACCTTATGTAGTTCGTAACAATAAACTTATGAAGTGTCTAATAGACCAACATTTTTTATCACTACATAGTATCAAACAAAGTCGCTTGACTTGATTTTAATTTATACTATGTAGTGATCATCAATGGTAATTTCAGTGATCTTTGTAGACTGCTAATATATAATGAACACAGTTTCCATACAGGCAAATACCTATCTACTGACGTAATATTTTGTTTTAATTTTACAGAGAAAGTCCAAGAGAGATGGTGGAATAGGCTGCTCAATAGTGAAACACCAATAGACCTGGATAAGATAGACTGTTCCAGACCTCTGGATGATTTGCCTGAAGATCATGTTGCTAAGGTAAAGGAAACTATCTATATTATAAACTAATATACCTATTTTATAATAACTCGTCGAGTACCGGTTTTGTAGACACAATTATAGAACAATAGGTTGCGGTCACCGGTGACCGCTTGGTGTTTGACAGTTTAAAACAAGTCATATAATCTAATTACAAATATCTATAGATACTGGTTAAATCATGTCATCTGTTCCTTGATGTTGGCCAAAGGTTTCATTGAGTTCATGGTTTGGAAATTAATATTATCTATAACAGTATCATGGATTTGAAATTATAACATTTGTGACTAGCAATAGCTCAGCTCTGTTCGAAGGAATGAATAAAATTTTTATGGTCTTACTCAAGAGTTAGGTATGTGGTCTTAGGCCTTAAACATATTTGTGAGTAATAATTATAGTTGTGGTGGCCCGGAGGTTAAGTGCAAGTGCTCATGCAAGAGGGTTCAAAACCTACCAACGGCAAGTACCAATGTGACTTTTTCCGAGTTATATGTACTTTCTAAGATTATTTAGACACCACTGACAAACGGTGAAGGTACAAACATAGTGAGGAAACCTGGTCTAGTAATTTTTATTTTTAATTTTGAAATCGCCAACCCGCAATGAGCAAGCGTGGTGATTAATGCTCAAACCTTATCCGTGTGAGAAAAGAGGCTTTGCTCAGCAGTGGGCACTTATAGGATGAATGATGATTATGAATAAATAAACCTGCATGTTCAGAGTGCCTCGTATGGAATCATTAATGAACTACACAAATATTCAATCAATCCTCTCTCGCATCGCATCGCAACGCAACCTACTTGCATTTAATATAGTGTTGCAAGTATCCATGAGCGACACTGATAACTTACCAACAAGTGATTCATCCTTATGGCACAAGAAATCTATCAATATTTATATTCTACTAACTTCTACCCGTGGCTTCACCCGCGTTGTCGTAGGATAAAAAGTAGCCTACGTATTATTCCAGAGGCGAGTTTGATATAAGTTTAAAGTATTCGAAACGAGTACGCGTTTGGCAATCTGATTGGCCGGCGCCAGTGAACCAACCAATCAGAGGCCTCAGTACGAGTTTGTTTTACGTTTAAAATATTCGAAACGAGACCGCGTTCGACACTCTGATTGGCCGGCTCCTATGAACCAACCAATCAGAGCGCCGAACGCGTACTCTTTACGATTACTTTAAGTGTAAAAGAAACTCGTACCTTAGTACGAGTTTCTTAGATTATGTTCTGAGGCCTTAGCCTCAGAACTAATCTATCCCTGTTCCGAATTTCTACCCTCAGTCGTTTTGGTGCGATTGAATAACATTCATACACATAAACTCACAATCTTTCCCATTTATAATATTATTAGTAATATAAGAAACCTTGTATCTCCAGGTTCGTGAACTACAATGGAATCAAGAAAGGAAAATGAAAGGTCTGCCGACTAGTGACGAAATTCGCAATATGGATGTTTTGAAGAAAGCATGGAATGCGCCCGGGTCTCCCTTTATGGGTCAAGAGTTCGATCCCAGTGTCCTCAGTAATTCTTCTCATACAATAGGATCATTTGGTCACTAATTTTCAATTAAATTATTCAAAATTTAGTATTGTGTTTAATTTCTGAAGACTTTTTTGTGAGGGGGAAAATTATCCAATGACTTCTCCCGCCTAAAACTAAAAACCACCCCGTTCCTAGCACTTCGAGCCAGAGGCCCGGGAACCCGTTAAGTCCTCCGCAGCTCCGTATCAGGATCAGACCTATTGGGTGGTGGTGGTGTGGTGGTCTGATGGCTCTTTGAGGCGCGCGTGGATCACGACGCGCCGTACGCTCGGGTCTGGTTCTGGTCGAGCGGCGAGCCACCCGTTCTCGCCATTCAGGCCCGTGCTTACGGTGGCTGGCGATCGCCTCGCGATCCCTGACGCCCAGAATGTCTCTCGCGACGGCTGGGCTATGAGGAGGTTGGTTTCGTCACGCGCCCTGCCTCCTCCTTAGCTAGCATGACTGCTTAGCAGAAGGAGGAGACGGCTATCCGGTCCCCCTCGCTCCGTACCATAGTCTGCACTGGAACCGGACGCGAGAGGTCGCCGTCGCCGATCACATAGCCCACGCAAGGGACACCGCCACCGTATCCTCCGGGCGGTCCTCGCAGTAATGAAATTTCTGAAGACTAACTTAATACCTATTTAAGAACTAGAAATTATAATTTTGTTCTGAAATACAAACATTTTAAAATGTGCTAACATAACTGAACTGGATACACCTACAGGTAAAATAAATATTATTCATTTTTCTTTTCGAAGTATTAAAAAGAATTTACTTGCTTGCTTTAAACCTACCCAAGAAAATTGTTTAAAAATTTAAAGTCCAGCATGGAAGTTATTGAATTACCTCAAAAACCAATTTATTACATTATTATCATGGAACAATAAAAGTAAACATAAATTACGCAACATTTATTGAAGAATTCGATGAGTAGGTACGTCTCTTAGTCTTCTTACTAAAATTTTAACAATGTTGTTTTACATAAAATCTGCTTAACAATTCACCAAAAAATTGTCTAGCTTTTTAGCCATGATTGCGTAGTCGTATATACTGCTGTAGGTACGTACAAAGTCATTGTAAAATTATTTAAATCCAGTCAACACTAGTTTACCAATCAAGGTCTTATTTTCTAGAAGTTTGTGAGCCGCTTTAACATTAGCAGCATTGATTGGACTCATAGTTTTCGTTAGAGTGCATTTCAGCTTGCCTTCTTCCATCCACTGCGCCGCTTCCTTCAACAACTCATAATGCCTGAACCTGTCATCAGTTTTATACTTGATCCTCGTGGCCATCATTTCTGACACCAAAGTAATACTTTTGTCCTTCAATGGCCTCAAATCTACGAGGGCACTGCTGTCGACAATTAAACATATCTTACCCTGAGGCTTGATGGCTTTCATCAATGTATCCCAGTACGGTGCGGGGTCGAAGTTAACAAGAATAAAGTCCACTCCAGCTCCAAACCCATTTGCCTCCAGCTGTGGTATCAGATCCTGGGTGTGGTTGAGGACTATGTCCGCTCCAAACTGACGCGTGAACGCCTGAGTTTCTGGGCGCGATGCAGTGCCTATTACTATGAGACCTAGATTCTTAACGATCTGTGTGGCTACTGATCCTACTCCACCAGCGCTGTTGATAACCAAAAATGATTTTCCTTTATCCTTCTCTGTGATCACTAGGCGATCAAATATTGACTCTGTGGCAGTGAGCGTCACCAGCGGCATAGAGGCGGCTTGTTCAAATGTCCAGTTCTTAGGTTTTTTTGCCACTAGGAATTGATCAACGGCGATGTATTCGGCATTAGCACCACTTCTTGATAAGTCCGCAGTGAATATTACTTCATCGCCGATATTAAATAAATTAGCTTTCTCACCCTTGGACACGACGATTCCTGCACCATCCCATCCCAGAATGCGCGGTGGATTTTCTACTTTTGGTTTAGGAGCTCGTTGTTTGGCATCTATAGGATTGACTGCGGCCGCCTTGACTTGAATCAATAAATCTGTGTCGGTCACAACTGGTAAACTTACTTCCACGTCGAGCAGACTCTCTTCGTGATCTATCGGCAAGTACTTATAGAGTCCCACAGCGCGCATTGTTTTCGGTAGACCAGACATTTTGATAAATTAGATTACGTGTGTAGTGGTTGAATTGTGAATTATAACTGATTCAAACGAATATAAACATTATTATTCAATGTCATTGATATAGTTAAGCCAACCATGACAAAGCTGAAATAAAATTCGTATCACGTATTGTTTGCGTTTCTTATCAAAATTTCAACGATACTGTCATACTGATACTTCAGGTTCAAGGTAGGCATTTGTTGCAATCTTTATCGTAGGTATAAATTGTAAATTGTAACGTCTCTTCATATGTCTACTGAAATAAGATGGAACAAAGCAAGGGTGAATAGTACCATTGCCCCATTGCCCTACGTTTGTGTCGTTTAGGTCGGTGCAGGAACAGTAGTGGGGCTGGTCTATTCAAAAGATCCGATATGCCTTATAAGTCCTAAATTCCTAATGGTGACCGCCGAAGCAGTTGTAATGAGGTAGGAATCCTAGTCACTGGTTTTACTCTTCAAAATCTTAGACCTTTTGAAGGTTTCACCCCCAGAAACCTTACCTATATGCATAAACTTACGAACGCTAAAAAGTAAGTTGATGAATAACAAAAATTGATTTTTTTACTTATGTCTTTTATTTTTTACTTACACATCTCGTTCATATACGTAATATGGACTAAATAGATGCTTTTATTATGAAACTACACCTTTAGTTACCGGAATCAGCAGGTACCTAGGTGAGACACAAGTTATCGAAAATTTATTTAGAAGTTCCTCAATGCTTTGTTAATACATCTAGACATTGTGATTTAGAGGTGCCGCGTGGTGACTGCAGAACAGAATAAGGAATAGACGAATTTTGTCACTATCCTACCCTGTGTCCTGACTGCGCATATACAGACAGGGCAGTTGCACTGCAACCGCTCTGATCAACCTGAACTTTTCTTCTCCATTCAGCCTGGTAAGCTTGGCTTTTTTTTTAAGGGGCTAAAATCATCGACTGACTGCTCCCGCCTGGGTGAGGCGGAAGGGAGTGTCAGACTCTTACTGACTAATAACCACCCCGTTACTTCTCCTGCACGTCGAGCTGGAGCCCCGTTTACCCATTAGGTTCTCCGCGACTAGAATGGTAAGCTTGGCTTGGAGGTTCTGACAAACCTCTCTGTGGACAGGAGACGCACAGTCCAACAGGTACGGTCACGGGCTGTTAACATGACATGTATAGGTAATCCATGGTATGACAATGATGTTTATCTTGAGTAATCAAGTAATCATCCTGATTATATTCCCATATCGAGTGACAGTTCTATCTTTTTTGCACACCATTTCATAAATACCTAGATGACTGGCAACAATTACAGCTATTTATTGGTGAATTACACGAATAAGATACCATATGTCTATTGTCTGTTGTTTAGGAAGTTGTATAAGACCTATAAGTAACTATATCACGCGATGAGACCCCTAATTAAAATGTACTCGCATCAGCAAGTCAACACCTTCTTTATCCCAAGTTAGTCTCGACTGGTGTAAAGGGTGATACTTATTGACGTAACCACTCCGCGTGTCCCGTTTCAGAAATGAGGTCGAGCATGCGAGAACTGTATGTTCTCCTACAACCACCTCAAACTCGGTACACGCGCGTGAACTCGGTACACGCCGCCACTTCGGGACTTGTTAAACTGGGTAACGGAGACCTAAGAACTATTTTGCAATGGAGACTTGCCTAAGCCCACCATCCACAACTTCCCTAAGCCCACCATCCACATTCCACAGACTCATTTAGGAGTCAGAAGAGGCCAACTTCTGCCCCCTCCTCAGCCTGGTGCGTCTGCTGCAGGAGGGTAAGGAAGATATTATTTCTCTTTTTCCTTAGCCTCCGTCTGCGACATGCTTTTTCGTAGATACGACAGGACATAAGATTATGACGCGGGTTGCCCTTGCCCATGCCACGCACTCCACCTACGTGTGCCACGCAATGTCATCTCCACAATAAATTCAGTGATGCCACCGAGTGTTTGGCTCCCTACTTATGCGACACAAGAACTGCTCCTGCTGTGCCTCCTCCTGAGTCAGTCGTTAAGTACTGGCCGCACTGCATCGATGGTGTTTAAGCCAGTGTTGAAGCCAATTCGTCACCAATACCTGGTGAAGTTTCGACCAGCGCAGTGCTTTTTCTCAGTGTTCCTACTTACCTACCCACGTACACTAACATATTGTGATGAGTCCTACTTGAGTAAATTAATTTATATATCATCATCTTAATAAATAAATCAAATATTGTAATGTTTCGTCAACATTTATAATAGTTATGGGTAGGTAAATTAATCAAATCAATGTTAATAAGTATGTATTTCTCCGACAGTAAAAATAACGCATACTGCAATTCTAATGACAGTAATATTTAATACAAAACTATACAGTACACAGGTATTCTTGCTTAAATATTATTTTTTACTAAATACTATTGAGATAGGTACCATAAATAAATATTGGTGTCTATCTATACTCTTACAGAATAAGTATCTTACATTTAAAATAAGCAATGAAATGCCCATTTAGTTCTCAGTTTGTACTCAAAATCCTGTTAACACTAGTTTCCCTATCATTTTTTTCTCTTCCATTATTTTGTGCGCCTCTCGCAAGTTGGCGGCGTTGATAGGACTCAACGTTTTCATCAACGGACTTCTAAGCTTGCCTTCTTCCATCCACTTGGACACTTCTTTGAAAATTTCATAATGTCTAATTCTATCTTCGGTGTCGTACTTCACTCTCGTAAACATCATTTCGCCAACTAAAGTTATACTTTTGTCTTTCAACGTAGCGATGTTCACTGGAGCGCTGCTGTCCACAAGGCTGAGGTTTAATTGCCTTCATCATTGTATCCCAGTACGGTGCGGGGTCGAAGTTAACAAGAATATAGTCCACTCCAGCTCCAAACCCATTTGCCTCCAGCTGTGGTATCAGATCCTGGGTGTGGTTGAGGACTATGTCCGCTCCAAACTGACGCGTGAACGCCTGAGTTTCTGGGCGCGATGCAGTGCCTATTACTTTGAGACCTAGATTCTTAACGATCTGTGTGGCTACTGATCCTACTCCACCAGCGCTGTTGATGATCAAAATTGATTTTCCTTTGTCCTTCTCTGAGATCAGTAGACGATCAAATATTGACTCACAGGCTGTGAGTGTCACCAGTGGTATAGCGGCGGCTTGTTCAAATGTCCAATTTTTGGGCTTTCTTCCTACCAAATATTGGTCAACTGCCATGTATTGTGCATTAGAACCACTCTTCCTCAACTCACCCGTGAAAAATACCTCGTCGCCGACATTGAATAAATTAGCTTTCTCTCCTCTAGAAACGACGACTCCTGAGCCGTCCCATCCCAAAATACGCGGTGTAGCTTCTACGTCTGGTTTCGGAGCACGCTGTTTCGCATCAATGGGGTTTACTGCAGTAGCTTTGACTTCAACCAACACATCAGACGGTGTCACACTGGGCACATTCACTTCTACATCAACTAGACTGTTTACATCGATAATCGGCAAATATTTATAGAGGCCGACGGCTCTCATAGTTTTCGGAATCTTCAACATCGTGTTATTTTGAGACGCGTGCGATGCGCTTGCGAACAACAATATTACTGAGATATAAGTGATAGTCATTGACACAAACTGCGAAGTCACTACGTTGATAATAAAGAATTATATAAACTTGTTTTTAATAGAAATGTGTAAGTACTGTATGTGTATTTCGTAACAATTTATCAAGATATCATCAACCGGCTTCGCGGTGGGCGTGAATTTACAAAATCAGCTACATAACAACATTACTCTGCGCATTGAAGATAGTCGCGTGCGATGACTGCAACTTCACGTTAGTCAGTAAGGCAAGGTGTACACAACACACATTTTATTTTTTTATGTATCATTTTCGCCATGTCATATTAACTACCTATAACACTTTGACTGATCTTAGAGAAAAACAAATAAATGAGCAAACATACATACCTAAGTAAGTAAATACTTAGGTTGGTAAACACCAATCTTTAAGAGCGGTTTTGCTCGATCTGACTCCGTGAAAATATGATCTAGTAGAAATGCGTAGCACTAAGCACTATCCTAAAAAAATGTAAATAACTAAATACTTCATTATTTTCATATCAACTACAAGACGTTCACTGCAGAACACTGCAGAACTGTTCAACGACTTCCATATAGGCCTATCGGTAGCGACCTGCATCCAGCAGCCAATGATGATCTATGGAACCGAAACGTGGTCCTCACATAGGCCTTATAAGAAAGCTCAAGGTCACTCAACGCGCTGTAACTACTTAAGATGGACAACTGAAACTATCTATTCAATATTTTTGCGGACGTGTGTTCTAAGCTTAAGAATGTCCACCAAAACATGCGCCGGCGACGCACGGCGACGTTTGACATTGACCTCTGTGAATGATACAATAAATAGAATATTTGGGCAGACGGTATTTAAAAATACGATGAGTAATTACGGGGTTTAAGTGATATTTGCAAAATCATTTTGTTTATGCGTCTACTCTAGACTCGAATAAATAATGACGAAGGTATACTTACCTACTTAAATATTGTATTATGTAAATATGTAATAGTAAATATTCTCAGTAGTAGCACGGAGTCTGGAAATGTGCCCGGTATATATATGGCAATAGGCTCACCCCCTTGTAATGTGGCGGGAACGGAGCGATAAATGAATATGCGTGTAGTCTGCTCAAGAGTCATTTATTGACTGTCTTACAATACACTGATACTTAATAACTAACACCACTACATCTACGGGGTTATATAAAAAATAAAAAAAATCATAAACAATGTTTTTTTTTTTTTAAATTACGATTATACTTAAACTCTAAGACAAACATCTGTCGTTAAACATAAACTACGCAATGTTAACAAATCTGTTATGTTATTGTCTATTTGCTTATCGTACGGATATTGTTACAATGTTATTATAATCAATGTTGTTACTAAACTAGTGTACATATGGTTTTGTTCTGTTTTTGTGGACAGTCTCATTTTTACCGTTCTTAAGTACTATTACATTGGGCTCTTTTTCACTTATTACCTGATACGGGCCATCAAACAATTTAT